CGGGCCCCGGGCTACCCCGGCCCGCGGCTCCGGCGTCCAGCCCAGGTGGGCTGCGGGTCTATGGGGAGGAGGGGCGCGTCGGGAGGAGTCCTGGGGCTGAAGGACCGGATCCTGCCGGTGCGGGCCGGCGGGGGCGGCCTTCACATCTAACAGTGCGGGCTCGGGTCTCCTCGGGCGTCTCGCGGCGCTTTGCCCGCCGGCACCGGGGCTCCGGGCGCAGCCAAGCAGCGGGCTCCTCCCGCTCCCGGGGGCCCAGAAACCCGTCGAGGGCCGGGGATGCCTGTCCAGGCCCTGGGGGCCGCACCCCGAGGCGGCCGCACATGCGGCGTCCCTGGGGCCGGCGGCCGCGGGGCTGGAGGTCGATGCGCCCGCCACCCCGTCCTCGGGCTGAGGAGGGGCCGCCGCGGGTCTGGCCATGCGCCCTTGGGAGAATCCCAGCATGACATCTGCAGCCCTGCGGCTCCGGAAGGGACGGTTCCCACACTCGCGACGTCGTCTGTGGGACTGAGTTCCGCCCCAGTGCAGAGAAACCGAAATGAAATTGGGGGTGCTAGTCTGGCTGGGTGCCACTGGCTTTCCGCTCTGGTTTTTCTGGATTAGTTTGGCTTCTCCTTCTGGGCCTCGCTGTAGAGCTGCGGGCATGAGAGCTCATGTCAGACTATCCCCCCTCGCTGTCTGTTATTACTAGGTAGTTGATCACTGCAGCCCTGGAGAGTTTTCAGTGGGAAGGCGTCTGCTTCCCCTCTCGTCCCTCCACCTCTTCCTGGGGAGGTCGGGGGTGCACTTTAGTGCCTCCTGAGCCCATATTTCCACACAGCCTGCTGAGCCACAGCATCGCACGTGTTTTAAACCTGTGCACAGTTTTTCTACTCTCCCTGTGCCTGAAATGAAATAGCACATCCAGTTTAGCCCTGGAGTCCTTCCTAGAAGCAGAAAGCTGCACTTGCTGGTTTCCTCTCTGAGCTCTGGGCCAGCTCCAAAACCCGCAGAGTTTATGTTTGCAAAACTAAGCCATGCAACCTGGGAAGTGACTCTGCTCTCTGGGGTTGAAGGTAGCTAAAGGGAAATTGCTACCCCTCAGTGGAGCGTGTGACCCCCACCCCCACCCCCACGCAGCCGTTGCTGCCGGTGCAGAGTAGTTCATCCCACTTGGAGTCACTGTTCTGAGATCATAGAAGGCTTTAAACAACCTCAGGATTTGCCACTCGAAAAACATGTTTGCCATTGGATTGTGATGTGAAACGTGCCTCAAATATTGATAAATTAGATGAATACTTGCTTTGAATATCCTCTAAAGTTGGTGAAAGGAGGGACCCTGGGAAACAGAATAAACTTAGTTCACATTTTGTCTCATCATAGCCATTTTCACTTAGACTGACACGCTTTGAATCTAGCACAGGGTAGACATAGATAAATTTCCAATAGGCAGGTTTTAGGAAGCGTTCAGACATTTTTAAAATTGCATTTTACTGCAGGCCAAGCTGGCAGCCTACCCCATCCCCTCAACAAATCTAAGGAAAACTTCATGAGATGCAAGATAACGACAGCCCAACCTTTCTATTCATCGTCTAGCATAATAATCTCTAAGAAACTTTCCGGTTCCTTGTGGAAGGTGGAAGCCCAAAGATCGCCCCTTAGCTGGCTGAAGCCCTAGAAATGATCATAAGACCACATCTTAGCCAAGGAGTTTGTGAATTCGAAATGTTTGACAGGTCTCTTTTTTTTGAGTTGGAGTCTCAATCTGAAAGAGGAAAAACCCCTCCCCTTGTATCCTCCCATCTACCCCACTACCCGAGGTCCTGAGGTGCTAATATCTGGCAAAGCCAAGATCTAAGACTCCTGTGGCTACAATCAACATCAAAGACCACAGCCCTGGACATTCCTTTTGGCCCAGACCCCTCCAGGCCTAAACCTCCCTTACCCCAAAGGCCCAGTTCTTGGCCTTTCGATGGCCTACTTGCCTCTGAGTGTTGGCCCCTTTCCAATCTTTGAAAGGTGAATGATAAACTTTACTTCCTTCACTTTTTTTTTTTTTTTTTTTGAGTTGGAGTCTCGATCTGTTGCCCAGGTTGGAGTGCAGTGGCACACTCATGGCCATTCCAGCGATGACCTGCTGGGCTCTGGTGATCCTTCTGCCTCAAGCCTTCCAAGTAGCCGGAACTACAGGCTCGTGCTACCACACACAGCTAATTTTTTATTTATTGTAGAGAGGAGGTCTCGCCAAGTTGCCCGGGCTGGTCTCGAACCCGTGGGCTTAGGCAATCCACTTGCCTTGGCCTCCTAAAGTGCTGGGATTACAGGTTGAGCCATTGAATCTGGCCCCTTCTGTTTCTTACTAAATTGTAATTTTACATTATTCCCATGGTACCGGCCCCGGCCCACCTTGTCTCAGTTTACCCTTAGAGTTGGCAGACAAGGAAGAGAAGAACTTGTTGAATGTCTGCACAGGTTTTTGAGTAAATATGGAATGACATTTTTCAAGATTTGAAATTGTGAAAATTATTACTATTTTTAAGAAGAGGGGGAAGGAAACTTAGTAAATAATATTTCATAGCAAAAATTTTCCCCAGCTGATCAAATTGTTGCCAGATGTTTTATAGATCAAGTGCTACTTGGCACCATTAAGAACACATTTCTGAAATTTCACTGTTGATATTTACTGCACATGAACAAATTGATTGTTAAAATTATTCCCTAACCTTACCCTGGTCTTTTTCTTCTTCCTTCAGTGAAGTCAAACTCAGCAGTTACCAAAGCTCCCTCCTACATGACACATCTTGGAGCTCCGAGAAGCTCAAAAAGTTGCTAAGCTGTAGTGGTCAAGTCACTGACCTGAACAGTCCTTTTCTGATTAGATCTTAGAGTGTCTGACGGGGAGAAGACCTCAAAGACGTTCTTTTATAGATCTTGTGGCCAGCTCGCCTGAGGGAGCTGCTCGCCTAACTGCACTGTGCAGGTCTGTCCTTCCGACCCAGGCTTTCCTTCCTTGGCCACGCTTTCTTCTATTCTCAGTGAATACGATTGGGTCATAAACCCACTAAATGGGTGATTAATTTATCATAGACACTCAACAAAGTTCTGCATATACAAACACTGTAAAGTACAAAAAGTGTAGAAAACAGTGTTGTGAGTGTGCTTAGGCAGAAAAGTGTTCTCAGGCAGAAATGTCCTGGCGGCTTGTTCTGAAAGCAGGCATGTGCAGAGACGTATTGAAGGGCTGAGTTCCCCTTGCATGGTTGATGAGAAGTCTGACAAGGTTTTAGCGCTTCCTCTACACTGTGGCAGTACCTGCCAATTTCACCAACTCAGCTTCACTAAGACCATCACTTAATTTCAATGACATGTGCACTTGTCAGTCTTCCTCATTAGAGCTCCTTGGGGAAACAGGGACTGGGTTGTTTCTCTACATCTCTCAACTTTTGCACAATTATTAACACCTCATAGGCAGTTAATACATTTTGAATTAGTGAATACTTTGTAAGACCAGGCATGTAGCCAGATAGTTCCATTGGCATTCAAGAGATGGAATCTGTCACTGAACATTTTTTTCTAGTTGCCAGGCAGTGAGTGTTCCATAACGCTCAGACAGGCAAGAAAATACAAATCCATCATGAATCAAAAGCTCCAGCTGTCTAACCAGTGATTTACCATCTTTGCTGCCACTGGAAAACCATGTCAGGAGGAGATCGTAGCTAGAGTAGAAAACAAATGCAGAAGTTTGGAAACTGGTTAGCATTATTCTAAAAAACTGGGTTCTAGGGTGATTCAGAACATAATTGGTCATATGATGGGATATAGACAGCTTTTCATATAAAGGCCAAACGTTTTAAAATAAATTCCTCAGCCGGGCTCGGTGGCTCAGCCTGTAATGCTGCGCCTTGGTAGGCTGAGGTGAGTGGATTGC